TTAACGCTGCCGTCCCTTCCTTTATGCAAACACCGCCACCTCTTTTGTGCTTTTAGGGTTCCCAGAGCACATGGATCCAGCGCCATTTGGCAGAATTCCCGTCTCGGACCTTGCCGGCTTTTGTGTCTGTTCCCGTTTTCATCCTGTTTTTCTTTCGGGACGGCACCCCCCCTGCCATTGTCTCCTCACAACAGCCCTGTGAGGTAGGCCAGACTGAGAGAAAGAGGGACTGGCCCAAATTCATGACTGTGGGGGAATCTGTACCTAGGTTTCCCAGATCATGATCCAACTAGATCTTTGGTGTAGTGGTTAAGTGCGCGGACTCTAATCTGGGAGAACCGGGTTTGATTCCCCCACTCCTCCACATGCAGCCAGCTGGGCGACCTTGGGCCTGTCACAAGTTCTCTCAAGAGCAGTTCTCGAAAGAGCTCTTTCAGCCCCACCTACCTTCCAGGGTGTCTGTTGTGGGGAGGGGGAGGGAAAGGAGTTTGTAAGCCGCTCTGAGACTCCAAGTGAAGGGCGGGGTATAAATCCAATCTTCTCCTCCTCCCTCCTCCTCCTCCTCCTCCTTCTTGACTCTAATCTGGGAGAACCGGGTTTGATTCCCCACTCCTCCTCCACTTACAGCTGCTGGATGACCTTGGGCAAGCCATAGTTCCGATGAGAGCTGTCCTTGAAAGAGAGCCGTTTCTGCCAGAGCTCTCTCAGGCCCACCCACCTCACAGGGTGTCTGTTGTGGGGAGGGGAAGGGAAAGGAATTTGTAAGCTGCTCTGAGACTCCTTTGGGTACTGAAGGGCGGGGTATAAATTCAATCTCCTCCTCCTCCTCTTTTTCCTCTTCCTCTTCCTCCCCCTCCTTCTCTTCTTCTTCTCTTTCTCTGTCCTCTTAGCTCATTAGAGTCCTTTGAATCCACCCCAGGTGAGTCTTTGGGGGGGGGGTCCGGAGCCCTGTTTCTAACAGTGGGCAGCCAGCTGTTTCTTCCTGGCGTCCCAGTATATTACCTCTGTGCGTGCAGCATCCATTTGATCACCACAGCTACGTAGTAGGTCCTCGAAGGATACAGGAGGTGCCCTGCAAGATCCAACCAAAGGATTGCTCAGCCTGTGGCATTTAAAATCATAGAATCATAGAGTTGGAAGGGATCTCCAGGGTCATCTAGTCCACCCCCCCAGCACAATGTAGGAAACTCACAAATCCCTCCGGGGGGCAGCCGTCTGCCACAGCATCCTGTTTACAGCAGGGGGGCAACCCCAAACTTCTGAGGAGGCCACAAAATGGGGGACCATCTAACTGTCATGCCTTTATCCTACTCTCCCTTCAATGAACTCCGTGTGGCATGTATATCCCCCCCCCCAACTTGAGCCAGTTTGGTGTCGAGGTTAAGTGCGGATACTCTAATCTGGGAGAACCGGGTTTGATTCCCCCACTCCTCCCCTTGCAGCTGCTGGATGACCTTGGGCAAGCCACAGTTCTCTCAGAGCTGTTCTCTCAGGAGCAGTTCTGTCAGAGTTCTCTCAGCCCCACCTACCTCACAGGGTGTCTGTAGTGGAGAGGGGAAGGGAAAGGAGTTTGTAAGCTGCTCTGAGACACCTTTGGGTAGTGAAGGGCGGGGGATGAATCCAATCTCCTCCTCCTCCTCTTCTTCTGTGTCCACGCAAGTTTCTAGGTTACAGATTGTTCCCTCTAAGCTGAGTTAATGTGAGCTAGCTCACGGTTTTTTAGCCTCCGGCTCACACATTTTTGTCTTAACTCAGGGAGGAGGGCTCCAGAGCAAACTAATTTATGCAGTAACCAAATCGCCCACTCACAACTTTAATGACTGTAGCTCACAAAGTGGAATTTTTGCTCACAAGACTCCACAGCTTAGAGGGAGCATTGCTCCCAGGGTGTCTGTTGTGGGGAGGGGAAGGAGTTTGTCAGCCGCTCCAAGACTCCCTTGGGTAGTGAAGGGCGGGGTATAAATCCAATCTCTTCTTCTTCCTCTTCTTCTTCTTCTCACAACAGCCCTGCGAGGTAGTTAGGCTGAGAAGCTGAGAAGGAGTTTTTGACCCACGGTTTGCCAATAAACTTCCTAGCTGAGAGGGGATTCGAACCTGTGTCACTCTAACCACTCGACTGCATTGTCTCATGATGGGACTCTCCTGACTGGGGGCTGAGGGCAGAGCCGGCTGTAGGTGGGGGGGTCTGGTCCTAATGACCTCCTTGGGACATCCATTTCAATAGACTGACCGATGTGCTTAGAGAGGCCACTTGCCTACAAGAAAATCAGGACTCGTACATGGTTTGTCATTCCCTTTTTTCACCTTCACTACAACCCTGCGAGGTAGGTTAGGCCGAAAGAGAGTGCGCCCTGCCCCTGAGCTCCCTTACCCATCCCAGGGTAAGCCACCCCTCCCCAACGATGTTTCTGTCCCAGCCAAACTGACCACTTCCCTGTCCCTCACAGAGGCCGGCCTGCAGACATTCCACTACATTTTCTCCTTTCCTTCCATTTCTCTGAATCAGTTCACGGCTCGGATGGTCCAGTGGCCCGTTTGGTTCCTTCCCGGAGCTCCAACCGCCGTGGCAGACATGCCGAGCCCCCGAGAGGGGCCGTGAGTCACAGTTCAGGGCGGGCGAGGCCCGGCGCGTGCTGCCGCCTCTGTCCTCAGCTGACTTCCGTCTCTCGGAGGGCTAAAAAAAGACAGGAGAAACCGTCGAGCCTCGGGTGCGAAAGAGAACCAAGGAAGGGGGATCCTCTGGCTCCCCGCCACCATTCGCCAGACCCCAGACCTGGGTGCAGGCTGCTCTCCCGGCCAGGTGGGTGGCACAGGGTGGGCAGGAGTGGAGGGGGAAAGATTTTAGGCGGCATCCTGTGGGTTTGTTCTACGAACGGCAGAGCTTTCCCCTGGCGCAAGGAGCCTGCCCACGACGGAAAACTTCTTGTGCCCAGGGAAAGCCTGGCCGGTCGCCAGATCCAGCACAGTGAGGCAATGACTATCCTACATTTTTGAAAGACAGAGAGGGAATTCCGTGCCCCTCTAAAGCTGACCGGCGCACCCTGAATAAATCAGGCGGATTCGCCCGCAGCGATTCGGTTTGCATCGTTTGTTCGGTGTCGTCTAGGCCTTGGGGGGGGGGGAGGGGGGGGGGGGGGGGGGGGGGTTTTTCCTGACTTTGCAGGAAATCCTACTCATAGTCTAGCCGTTAGGCACAAGGTCTTAATGGAACCTTCAGGTTCAGGGGCAGTCTACCTCTGAATGCCAGTTAGTGAAGGAGAAGCAGCAAAGGAGGGTGTGGCGTCTTGTGAGCCAAAATCCTACTTTGTGAGCTCCTGGCGTTCAAGCAGTGAGCGAGCGATTTGGCCGCTGCATAAATTCGTCTTCTCCGGAGCCCTCCTTCCTGAGCAAAGACAAAAATGTTCGAGCCAGAAGCTAAAGAACTGTGAGCTAGCTCACACAAACTCAGCTTAGAGGGAACACTGCTGTGTGCCAGAAGCACCCGTTTGGAATCAGGATGCTGGACTCGCCGGGCGTTGTATTTGGTCCAGCAGGGCTGGTCTTGCGTTCGAATCTGGTCCTCTCCACTGAGTTCAACACGCGCCCCTCTGGGCCTCCACACTTACAAGCCTGTCTTTGTGGCCATGGGGGTTTAGAGCTCTGCCTGCTTTGCTTGCTTTTCAGTTGTTGTTTTACCCTCCGCAGGGTGGTGAGTTTCGTGCCCAGCTGTACCATGTGGGCATGGGGGTTTCAGAACCAACGCTATTTTTGGCCGCGAGTGATTCATGCTTTTCTTCTTCCTCCTCCTGTTTATCATTTGCCGACAACTTTTGGTTCACAAAGAGCTTGTGGACTCCCTTTGGCCCTCCGAGTTACCAGTGTGTTACCAGTGTTCCCTCTAAGCTGAGTTAGTGTGAGTTAGCTCACAGTTTTTTAGCCTCCGGCTCACACATTTTTGTCTTAGCTCAGGAAGGATGGGGCTCCAGAGCAAACTAAGTGATGCAGTAGCCCAATCGCTCACTCACAACTTTAATGCCAGCAGCTCACAAAGTAGAATTTTTGCTCACAAGACTTCCCACAGCTTAGAGGGAGCATAGCCAGTTACTCCAGCAATTTATGGCTCCGGCGATTTACAGTTGACGGGTTGAGTTGCCCAAGGGCAGGCAATGTTGGTCCGTGTCTGGGACAAGACTCGAACCCACCTCTCCCCCACCCCTTCCCAGTTCTCCGTCTGCTGCTCTGTGCTGACCTCCTATGAAATTTCTTTTGTGGTCTGTTTTGAAGAAGAAGAAGAAGAGAGAGAAAGATTGGCTTTATAACCTGCCCTTCACTCGGGAGTCTCAGAGCGGCTTACAGTCTCCTTTCCCTTCCCCTCCCCACAATAGACACCTTGTGAGGTAGGTGGGGCCGAGACAGCTCTTTCGAGGACTGCTCCTAAGAGAACAGCTCTGAGAGAACTTGTGACTGACCCAAGGTCACACCAGCAGCTGCATGTGGAGGAGTGGGGAATCAAACCAAAGTCCATGCTCCTCACCGCTACACCAAACTGGCTCACATGACAGATAGAACCTCCAGCGGCAGAGGCAGTATATTCCTGAATACTAGCCAGTGTGGTGTAATGGATAGAGTGAAGGACCAGGGCCCTCGGTGACTGAGGTTTGAATCTCCCACACACACACTTCTACTGTGGAAACTTGCTGGCCGACTTGGGCCCGTCACAATCTCTCAGCCTGGCCTGCCTCACAAGGTTGTTGTGAGAAAACTGACTAACCGTGCTGGAGGATGGTGGCTTTCATGCCCTGGTTATGGGCTTCCCACTGTTGGAGACAGGATGCCGGTCTAGATGGACCTTTCCTGTGTTCTTGTGTTCTTTTGGATCAGAACCCCTTGGAACTGCAGGGGAAGCTGAGTGTTGACTCTCACAGCACGCTGGGGAAAGGGAACACGTTCCTTCCTGCCCTGAAACACACCGGCAACACTGACGCACTGGATCTATTTCTTTTTATCTCGTTTCCTCGTAGGTGTGCCAAAGCTTGGAGGATTCTAGCAACCCCTCTCTCAGCCTGTCTCCGCTGGAGAGCCCGCACCCCACGCTCCGCGCCTACACGCAGGGCAACGCCACCGCCTCTCGGAAGAAGGTCCTCCCCATCGTCAAAGACTTCCTGAGGGATTGTGGCACCATGCAGCCGTGCCGCAAGACCAGAGCTGAGCCCGCGAACGCGTCCCCCGGCAGAGCCGACAGCCGCCCTCTGGAGAGGGGTGCGGCGGGCCGGAAGGATCCCCCCAAATCCCAGCGCTTGGGGGACGACCTCTTGGGGGATGAAGACACCCACCTGCCCCCTACGCCCATGAACAGCCTGGTGGATGAGTGCCCCCTCGACCAGGGGCTGCCCAAGCTGTCGGCGGAGGCCGTCTTCGAGAAATTCAACCGCATCGCCGTGGCCCGTTCCTGCGAGGACAGCCCCGAGAAGAAGTGAGGCCCTGCGTGGCCCGGCGGCTCTGATTTCAGGGAAACTTTCCAGCCAAGGGTGTGATTGTGGCTCAGGGTGTGTGTGTGTGTGTGTGCGGATGGGTAGCAACGCCTCATTCCAGAGATTAAAGACACGGTATGTTTCTGGATGCGGCTCTCTGTCCCACGTGCCAGGGTTAGCTCAAAAAGCACCCAGGGTGGTTTTTTTTGGGGGGGGAGTATAAATAGGGAGGGGTCTCAGTTGCAGTAGTAGAAGCCTATAATCAGTCACAGTTTTCAGGATTGTTCAATTATTGGCCCCTAACCCTTCCGGGGGCATCACTGTAGGCCCTCAGTTTTGGTGACCCCCTTGATAGCTCTCGCTATAGACAGTGAGGGGAGTAAGAGCGGAGGAACAGCACTATTGGGGGGCAGATGCAGAAATGGGAGGGCAAGATGGTTTTGCAGAAGGTGCAGGTGAGAGATGTTCTTTAAAAAGAAACACTTTATTTTTGGTCACAGTTGAAGCCCATAATCAGTCACGGTTTTCAGGGTTGTCCAGATATTGGCCCCTAACCCTTCTGGGGCATCACTGTAAGCCCTCGGTTCTGGTGACCCCTTGATAGTAACCCTTTGATAGCTCTCGCTATAGAGAGTGAGGGGAGTAAGAGCGGAGGAATAGCGACATTAGGGGCAGATGCAGAAATGGGAGGGCAAGATGGTTTTGCAGAAGGTGCAAGTGAGAGATGTTCTTGTTTTTTTAAAAAAACTTTATTTTTGGTCACAGTTGAAGCCCATAATCAGTCACGGTTTTCAGGGTTGTCCAGATATTGGCCCCTAACCCTTCTGGGGCATCACTGTAGGCCCTCGGTTCTGGTGACCCCTTGATAGTAACCCCTTGATAGCTCTCACTATAGAGAGTAAGGGGAGTAAGAGCGGAGGAATAGCGACATTAGGGGGCAGATGCAGAAATGGGAGGGCAAGATGGTTTTGCAGAAGGTGCAGGTGAGGGATGTTCTTGTTTTTTTAAAAAAACTTTACTTTTGGTCTCAGTTGCAGTAATAGAAGCCCATAAACAGTCACGGTTTTCAGGGTTGTCCAGATATTGGCCCCTAACCCTTCTCGGGTATCACTGTAGGCCCTCGGTTCTGGTGCCCCTTGATAGTAACCCCTTGATAGCTCTCACTATAGAGAGTAAGGGGAGTAAGAGCGGAGGAATAGCGACATTAGGGGGCAGATGCAGAAATGGGAGGGCAAGATGGTTTTGCGGAAGGTGCAGGTGAGAGATACTCTTTCAGGTTTCCACGCTTCCTCCAAAATTCGTCCCAAATGATGCAGAGCGAAGAGCGAGAGACAGATTGGATTTACGGGACACGACCCAGCGGAAGTTGTCCTGCGAGAGCCACCGTTCGTTTTGGCGAGACTCACAATGGGACACCTCCCCGCTGGATTGGGCCCCGCAGTAATGAGACTGGAGACAGCCTTGTTACAACTCGGCACATGCAACTGTCTCTGGGGCTTTACCCCTTGCGCCAGAGGAAAGCCCTGCAGGATCCAACCCCGCTGCTGCTTAGGTTTTCCTGAAACAGCGTCCGAGGGAGGTTGTACATTTCCAGGAAGTGTCCCTTTGACCCTCTCCCATGTGCTTAACTTCGGTAGTGAAGGGGGAGGATGTACCAACCTTTCTAAGATGGGTGCTTTCCCCCAACTCACCCAAAATACAAAGCTTTTTTTTAAAAAAGAAATCACTGGCGCACCCTTCCTTGCGCACAGAACCTTTGATTTGAAAACTCAGAAGCTTGTGTGCTCAAACCAGCATTGTGCTCATTCACACGCGCGCATGCGGGTGTGCACTTGATCACACAAGCATCTCAGTGTCAGGAAAACACCCAGTTTCCACACTAGACACTCATCATCTCTCCTGCTGCATGCGGGAATGACGGTTATTGTCGTCCCGGGATAGGGCACATGGCAGACTCGTGAACTACTTCAAAGGGACATAGAACCAGTTCCCTGTTCCATGAACCTTTTTTTAGAGTCATGAAATCTAACCCTCCACTTGCGTGTCTTTGCGGTGTGTGTGTATGGGCTTCCTCCTAATTTGGCAATAAATTTTCCAGGGTTCCGCTTGCATGCACCGACATGTGTCCACAGTGGGTGCAACACGTGTCGAGGCCCTGCCAGGGTGAGTTGAGATCTCCTGGTGGCCATCTTGGGACTTTCTCCGGGCACGTTTGGAGGCAAAGACTGAGGGCGGGGTGTGGGCATGCGTGCACGCGCGCAGTTTCGAAAAGATGTGTTATGCTATGAAGAGAAGGAAGTCAAGGAACTCTGCCCCTCAACCCTCGGATAGGAAGGCTTCTTCGGAAACCGGTCAGAAACGACAGCTCACCTATGTTCGGTTGGTCGCACGGAGCCAGGACGTCGTTCAAGAGAGCGTCTCCAAACTAATTTAATCTCGAAATTAATTTAATACTCTTTTTTTCAGTGGGGTAAAACCCCTGTACCTTAAATATAGGTTCTGTTTGACTAAGCATTCTATTTACTGATTGATTGATTGATTGATTGACGTTACTTATGGTTGGCCTTTCTCACCCGGACTCCAGGCAGATTACGCAGAGCGAGTCGATACGACCGACAGGGTGGGACGTTCAGCAGAAAGCGCTAAAGGGTTGCAGAACGAACCGGTGGCCTCAAAACAGAACAGAACGTGACACATTCAACGATGCAGAATTCCATTGTACGACCCTAGTTGAGAGGCAGTTTGGTATAGCGGTTAAGAGCGGCAGACGCTAATGCGGGAGAATCAACTTTGAATCCCCACTTCTCCACATGCAGCCAGCTGGGTGGCCTTGGGTCAGTCACAAGCTCTCTCAGGCGCTGTCCTCGAAAGAGCTCTCTCGGCCCCCTCCCCTCACTGGATGTCTATTGTGGGGAGGGGGAGGGAAGGCGATTGTAAGACGCTCTGGGTATAAATCCAATCTTCTTCTTCTGGTCAGGGTCAGCCATTCACAGTAGGCTAGACCTCAGTCCCTAATAGTTTTTTTCCAAGTAGCTTTGCGAATCGTTTGGTCCAGTGCAACTGTAGTGCCCGCGTAGAAAAGCCCCCTTGAATGATTCAGATTTTGCATCGTTTCCAGGAGGCCAGGAAAGTGGGTGCTTTTCTTGCCTCTTCAGGTAGACTGTTCCACAAGGCCTGCGTACGGGCAGGTGTTGATGTTGCCCACGGACCAGTGGGCACCCCCATTAGGCCTTACTCGATTGCGTGAAGCTGTGGGAGGGGCAGCCTCACAGACATGAGGCCCCACGGTCACGAGGGGCTATGTAGGCGAGAGCAAGTTCCGTTCCATGCTGCGCCCGCTCCTTCTCAGAAGGCCAAAGTTGTGCGTTCGGGGGTTTTCTCGCTAAAAGCTTTATTTTAAATCTCCCCATCGAGGGCACCCTTAATCCAGCTGGGCCACCTCAGAGAGCTCTAGGCCTAAAATCGGCGCGGAGAGAGAGAGTCCTGCTGAGGCATCTGGGGGCATTTCTAGACCCCTGCACGGCCTGGATTGGGCCCGCTGGGAAACGGCGCAGGGCTGGGGCTAAGAACATCGGAAAAGCCCCGCTGGATCAGAACGGTGGTGGACACTAGTCCAACATCCTGCCTCACAAGGTGGCCAGCCAGTTCCTCTGGAGGGCCAACAACAGGGCAGAGAGGCCGAGGCCTTCCCCTGAGAAGAACCTCAGAAGAGCCCTGCTGGATCAGACCAGTGATCAGACCAGTGATCAGATCCAGGCCAGAATCCCGTCTCACACAGTGGCCAGCCAGTTCCTCTGGAGGGTCAAACAAACATAGAGGCCGAGGCCTTCCCCTGAGAAGAACATCCGAGGAGCCCTGCTGGGTCAGACCAGAGAGGGTCCATCCAGTCCAGCTTCCCGACCCGTCTCACAGCAGTGGCCATTGATTTATATAGGGGCATTATGATATTGGCTGATCTGTTTTCAATACCCTTCCTAATAATCCCCAGCAAAGCATTGGCCTTCTTTATTGCAGCCACACACTGTCTCGACATTTTCAGTGAGTTATCTACTACGACTCCAAGATCGCTCTCTTGGTCAGTCTCTGCCAGTTCAGACCCCATCAAGGTATATTTATATTGAGGATTTTTGGCTCCAATGTGCATCACCTTGCACTTGGCCACATGGAACCCCATTTGCCATGTTGACGCCCATTTGCCATGTTGACGCCCACTCGCCCATCCTTGACAGATCCCTTTGGAGTGAATCAAACACGGTTCTCCCAGATTAGAGTCTGTGCTCCTAACCACTACACCAAACATCCAACTAGTATCTGCTGCCTGCAGTTTGGAGCAGAAGAGGCCTCTTTGAGCCAGTTTGGTGTCAGTCATAAGCTCTGTCAGAGCTGTTCTCTCAAGGGCAGTCCTCAAAAGACCTCTCTCAGCCCCACCTACCTCCCAGGGTGTCTGTTGTGGGGAGGGGAAGGGAAAGGAGTTTGTCAGCTGCTCTGAGACTCCTTTGGGTAGTGAAGGGCAGGGTATAAATCCAGTCTCCTCTTCTTTTTCTTTTTCTTCTTCCTCTTTTCCTTTTTCCCCCCCTGATTCCAGGGCCTGGGCCAGTCTGTCCCAGGTCTGGAGTAGCCCGTCACAGACACCCAAATGCCCGTCTCACTTCTGAAGCTGCTTTGAGGAAGGGAATTCTTACTGCCACTCCTTGGAAACTGTGTCCTGCCAAGGAACACCTCTGGCCTCCTCCCCTCCCGCTGGCTGGTAATGGGGAGGGAGAGAGACGGTTGGGTTGGGTTTAAACTTCACGGCCGCACTGGCAACCGTCAAGGTGGAAAATTAGACGTTTGACTTCGTCGAGCCTTGAAAACAACTCTGATGGAGCGGGCAGGGTGCCGGGCGGTTAAGCTCCAGAGCAGCTCTGGCTCTGCCGTCCAGATGTTCAGTGCGATGGGGGGGAGCACAGCTGGACATCCTCTCCCTAGATGCCTCAGGACTCTGTTCCAACTGGGTCGTTTGGGAAAGACACTCGGCACATGCTCAGAGGTCCCTTTTGGGTCATGCCGTTGGCCCCCTGTTGGATTCCTTGAATTACAGTAAAACTCCCGTTTTTCATGGCCTGAAATGCATCGACGGCACTTTCGTGAGATTGTTGGAAGGAAAAGATCCCTGCCGAAGAAGGGGGGAAACCCCAAACCTCTCTCTCTCTCTCTCCCTCTCTTTCTCTCTCTCTCTCTCCCCTTCCTTCCTTCCTTCCTTCCTCCCTTCCCTTCCCTTCCGCCAGTTTGGTGTAGTGGTTAAGAGCGACGGACTCTAATCTGGAGAACCATGTTTGAGTTCCCACTTCTCCAAATGCAACCAGCTGGGTGACCTTGGGTCAGTCAAAAGCTCTCTCAAGGGCAGTTTCTGTCAAGAGCTCTCTCAGACCCACCTCCCTCACAGTGTCTGTTGTGGGGAGGGGAAGGGAAAGGGGTCTGTAAGCCGCTCTGAGACTCCTTTGGGTAGTGAAGGGCGGGGTATAAATCCAATCTCTCCCTCCCTCCCTCCCTTCCTTCCTTCCTTCCTTCCTTCCGACACAGCTGACATATAGCAACCCTAAAGGGTTTTCAAGGCAAGAGACCTTAAGGGGTGGTTTGCCCTTGCCTGCCTCTGCATCACGGCCCTGGTATTCCTTGGAGGTCTCCCATCGAAATACTAGCCAGGACCGCCCCTGCTTCACATCCAAGATCCAGCAAGATGGAGCTACCCTGGGCTGTCCAGGTCAGGACCCAAACCTCTTAGAATTATTTTAAAAAAAAAAAACTTCAAGAATTTTGTTTGGGTTGCCTGAGCCAAAAACACCTCATAAAGGGAGGATGTTTCCGCTGCAGCTGAACTGAAGCATTTTCGCTCCGCCCCAGCTAAGGAGGGTTGCATGGGTGTAGCGCTTGCTGGATCAGGAACCGCAGGCGTGACTTGGCTGCTCAAGGGAAGTGAGGAATGTCCCTGGGCTGTGCCGTGTGGCTTGCAGCAGGAGGGGTCCTTCCCTCTTGGTGCAAATGGAGAAATATGAGAACATCAGAAGCTGGACCAGTGAGGGTCCCTCTAGTCCAGCCTCCTGTCTCACACAGAGGCCAGCCAGTTCCTCTTCAGGGCCAAAACCAGGGCAGGGAGGCCAAGATCCTTCCCCTAATAAGAACCTCAAAAGAGCCCTGATGGGTCAGACCAGTGAGGGCCCATCCAGTCCAGCCTCCTGTCTCCAGTTCCTCTGGAGGGCCAACGACAGGGCAGAGAGGCCGAGGCCTTCATAAGACCATCAGGAGAGCCCTGCTGGGTCAGACCAGGGAGGGTCCATCTAGTCCAGCATCCCGTCCCACACAATGGCCAACCAGTTCCTCTGGAGGGCCAACAACAGGGCAGGGAGGCCGAGGCCTTCCCCTGAGAAGAACAACAGAAGAGCCCTGCTGGGTCAGACCAGGGAGGGTCCATCTAGTCCAGCATCCCGTCCCACACAATGGCCAACCAGTTCCTCTGGAGGGCCAACAACAGGGCAGGGAGGCCGAGGCCTTCCCCTGAGAAGAACATCAGAAGAGCCCTGCTGGGTCAGACCAGTGGGGGTCCATCTAGTCCAGCCTCCTGTCTCACACAGGGGCCTCAACCAGTTCCTCTGGAGGGCCAACAACAGGGCAGGGAGATCGAGGCCTTCCCCTGAGAAGAACATCAGAAGAGCCCTGCTGGGTCAGACCAGTGGGGGTCCATCTAGTCCAGCCTCCCGTCTCACACAGGGGCCTCAACCAGTTCCTCTGGAGGGCCAACAACAGAGCAGAGAGGCCTCGGCCTTCCCCTGAGAAGAACACCAGAAGAGCCCTGCTGGATCAGTCCAGTGAGGGTCCATCCAGACCAGCATCCTGCCTCACACAGTGGCCAACCAGTTCCTCTGGAGGGCCAACAACAGGGCAGAGAGGCCGAGGCCTTCCCCTGATGCCAGTTTGGTGTAGTGGTTAAAAGTACGGACTCTAATCTGGGAGAGCTGGATTTGATTCCCCACTGCTCCTCCACATGCAGCTGCTGGTGTTCTCTCAAGAACAGTTCTCAAAGAGCTCTCTCAGCCCCACCTACATCACAGGGTGTCTGTTGTGGGGAGAGGAAGGGGATTGTGAGCTGCTCCAAGATTCCTTCAGGGTAGTGAAGGGCGGGGTATAAATCCAATCTCCTCGTCCTCATAGAATCATCGAGTTGGAAGGGACCTCCCAGGTCATCTAGTCCAACCCCCTGCACAATGCAGGAAATTCACAAATACCTCCCACACACACACACACACACACGGATCCCTGCTCCACGCCCAGAAGATGACAAAAAACCTCCAGGATCACTGGGGGCCAAACTGGCCTGGAGAAAAATGGCTTCCTGACCCCAAATGTGGGGCACTGAAGCAACCCTCCCTGCCTTCCCTCTCGTGATCTGCCGAAGTTCACAGAATCTGCATGGCCTTCAGATGGCCATCTAGCCTTCCCTTAAAAATCTCCAGAGAAGGAGAGCCCACCACCTCCTCCCGAGGAAGCCTGTTCCACTGAGGAACTGCTCTAACTGTCAGGAAGTTCTTTCTAATGTTTAGCCGAAATCTTCTTTGATTTAATTTGAACCCATTGGTTCTGGTCCGACCTTCTGGGGCAGCAGAAGACAACTCCGCACCATCCTCTATAGGGCCGCCCTTCAAGGACTTGAGGATGTTGATCGTATCACCTCTCAGTCGTCTCCTCTCCAGGCTAAACATACCCAGCTCTTCTTCATATTCTTCGATGTTGCCTCCTGGCTCTGTGATTCAGAGGATTAGTGCCTCTGAATGTGGAGGTTCCCCACAGTGACCATGGCTAGTAGCCACTGATAGACCTCTCCTCCATGAATCAGAGAAATCCCCTTTTAAAGCTGTTTATCCCTGTGGCCATCACCACACCCTCTGGCATAAATGCATCTTTAAAACTCAGCCGCAACAGCGTCGGCACATTTATTTTAATTATTTACTTATTGAGATTCCCCCCCCCCCTCTACAATGCAACGACAAAGTTGATCAAGAAATAAGGTGCAGCCAAAACAGGCAAAACAAAAAACGAAGGAAAGTTTGTGTTGGAGGAAAAGCTCTTTAAATTCGGCTGTGGTGCGTTTCCACAAGCGGCCACAAGAGGGCAGACGCCGCAACAAAAGAAATCATAATGGAATATCCACACTGCATTGCACCCTCTGGTGGACATGTCTGGGATAACACTATGTTGAAGAGTGGGCACGGCTTGATTCTGCGATTGTAATAAATCCCGCGTATTTGCATAGATTGAGACAATTTGTGGAATTTATTTTGCTTTCAACGGGTTTCGGGGGGGCACAGTATGGGGAGACAGTATGGAAGCTGACTCAGAGATTATTCATGTTTTCTGAGGACGGGAAGCCCTCGCACTCAAAACCTCTTCCAAGCCTGTGCCAAGACAGTGGGTGATGGATAGCAATGTGTCCCCCCTGGCTAAATCTGCCCTATCGTTTTTCTATGGAGAAGGAGGTGGAGTTCAGTTCATCCGTCCATACTGCCAACCTGGGTGCTTAAAACCCTCTTAAGAACATAAGAGACGCCAATGTTGGATCAGGCCAAAGGCGCATCCAGTCCAACACTCTGTGTCACACAGTGGCCAGAAATACCAGGTGCCATCAGGAGGTCCACCAGTGGGGCCAGGACACCAGAAGCCCTCCCACTGTTCCCCCCCCCCCAAGCACCAAGAAGACAGAGCATCACTTGCCCCGGAGCCCCTAGCTATACCTTGTGGCTAATAGCCACTGATGGACCTCTGCTCCATATGCCTATCCAATTCCCTTTTGAAGCCATCCATGCTTGTAGCTGCCACCACTTTTTTGTCTGAAATGCGCTACTACTCAGTTCTGTTGAAATTCCACAGAAAACGGTCCCCCGTGCAAAGTTATCCTGGCAACTAGAAGCCCAGCAAGAGGGGGCTGTACACTTGGAGCAGTCCCCAGGTGTGCAGAAAAATCTAAAAAGTTGAAAAAAATATACGGGGGATATTTAAATCCCCCCAAAAAGTAAAAGCATTCTCTGGCCATTGGGGGGAGGCTCGGTGGGGTCGGTGGCTGGGAGCCGCTCGGGCCTCGCCACCGGTGCCGGGGGGGGGGAGCAGGAGAAGGCTCAGCAGGCCTGGCGGCGGGGAGCCACCAGGGCAGGGGCAGGGGGGAAGGATTGGTGGGCCCGGCAGCTGGGAGCCGCGCGGGCCTTGCCACCGGTGCCCGGGGGGAGTGGGAGAAGGCTCACCTGCAGCTGCTTCCTCCTCCTCCTCCTCCACGTTGAGCTTCTTCTCCCCCCCCCCCCCGCGAGTATCGTGGGTCCCTGCTTCTTGTGCTTATCTAATTCCCTCTTGAAGCCGTCCATGCTTGTAGCTGCCACCACCTCCTGTAGCAGTGAATTCCATGTGTTACTCCCTCTTTGGGTGAAGAAGGACTTCCTTTTATCCGTTCTAACCCGACTGCTCAGCAATTTCATGGAGTGCCCGCGAGTTCTCATCTTGTGAGAAAGGGCGGAAAGCACAGTTCCCCTGGAGACAATGGCTGCTTCGGAAGGCAGGCCCTACGGGATTCCACCTTGCCAAAGTCTCTCCCCTCTCCACACCCAATCCTCCCCAGGCTCCATCCCCAAATCTCCAGGAATTCCCCCCGCCTGGAGCTGGCAACCCTACCCCCAGGGATGGAACGATACACATTACAGGGCGGCACTAGGACCCAGCCTTGCCTCCGCAGCCCTCCTCAAGCATTAATGCTGCCAAACCTGTTTGGGACGAGTCTGGGCTGCAGGCGGCATCTCCGGACGTCCCCGGGTTGCCATTCCTGCGCCGGGCTGGGAGGAGAGCAGAGATCCAGCCGGGCTTCTTTGCTGGGGGTCAGGCAGGCCCCATGGGCTCCTACGTGGGAGTGGATGCGGCTGTCTTCCCGTCCGGACGGTGAGTTTGTGGCTGGGGAGTCAAGCTGGAACAGGTCCCCTTTGTGCCCGGCTTGGCACCCAAACCTCAAGTCAGGACTGGGCTTCTTGAAAGGCTTCAAGTCCTTCTCAAACCTGAATGCATTTGGGGGGGGGGTAGCAGAAGAAGGTTACTTACCGCTTGTAAGGAGGGTTTTCTCTTGACGGGACTCTGGAGGAGTTTGGGAGGGCACTGCTTAGGGGTTCCCAGGCACGCGTCGACTTTTGGGGCTGAAACATCCCCATCCTCAAGACCTTGTGCGTCCCACTGACGTCAAACTGTGGAGGACTTTGACGTCCGCATGGGAATGTTGACAGTCCTAGAGAGATTGACACAGAGAGTGCTCCCTCTCTGTGTGTTGTACCTCTGAGGATGCCAGTCACGGCTACTGGCGAAACGTCAGGTCCTACAGTGCCAAGACCACGGGCACGCAACCTGGAAAATCTACAGCAACTAATCCTGGAGAGACTCGGAGAATCTCTGCTACGGAACATTAGCGGATGAATGACGGACAGTGCCATGTAGATAGATTCAGGCGGTAACGCTGGTTCAATGAAGACCAAAGCATTGGTACAAATGCAATCAGGTAAGCACAATCAGGTCCAATCTTAAAGCAGTGGCAGTGATTATGGAAGGAAGGGTGATGTAAAGCCTAGAGCTTTTCCTGAGATGTGCTGTCAATAACCGCCCGTTTATGAGACGGGTTTGCCGTAACTCACAAGAGTGCGTATAACCCCGCTGAAGATATAATAATAATAATAATAATAATAACAATAATAACAATAATAACAACAATAATAATAATAATTTCAATTTATTAATCGCTTTCCCCAGTGGGCTCAAAGTGATGTACAGTTACACATTAGACAGGGGACTAACAATGTTCATAGGGGATAGGGAGGACAACATATATTCATTTTGTTTAATTGCACGCGCTGTCACTGCACGGTGTAAACGTCTTCTGGCTGGGCTCAGTCGTTTTCCGAACGGCTGCTTGTCGACCAGGCTTCAGGACCCGTATGTCACATTGCCACACTGCCACCGCCTGGCCGGAGACATCCACTGCAGGGAGTTTTGTAGCCGAGAAGTTCTTTCGCCTTTTCCCGACCTCGACCAGGACATCCCGACCGTCAGCTAACACCCTCCCACAAGGGAGATTGGTGTGCCAACCCTCTCTAAGGAGTGGTTCCCATTTTATCTACTCGCTGAAGCTTTCGAATCGCTAGGTGGACGATGAGCTGGGGGCAACAGGCTGGCTGCTCACACCAGCGCGGGGCTCGAACTAACACAGTTCGGATGTTAAGACAGTGGGATAGTCCCATTGTGCCACCGCTCCCCTGTTTCAGTTCAGTTACTAAGGAAGTTCTCCGAAATGGAGTTCTTAATATCCGGATTCTTCGTTTATCATTCTTCATGCGTCTTCATCTCAAGAGGAAACGTTTCTACTTTAAGATTGGACTTGATTGGACTTACACGATTGTATTTGTATCAGTGCTTTGGTCTCTATTGAACCAATGTTAGCGTCTTCTTCACACAGATCACGATTTCCTTGTATACCTACACTGTGTGTTCCTCTTTGGTTGCTGTTGATAGATTCAGGCGGGGTAGCCGTGTTGGTCTGAAGCGGCAGAACAACGTTTGAGTCCAGCCGGGCACCTTTGAGACTGACAAAAGTTTTACTCAAGGTATAAGCCCTTCGTGTGCATGCACACTTCTTCAGGTACATCGAAAGGGAAGTTGCCAGTCCGTACATATACGTCGAGGGGTGAGCGGCAAACTAGCGAACAGCATAATGAAGACGTTTAACAGATGCAAGGACCAAACTGGAATAACAGGCTTAGTTGATGTGGTCACCGTTTGTTTGGTCTAAATCCTGGGGGAAACATAGTGAAGGAAATAAATATATCAGAATCGGAGATTGACGGGCTAGTAGAGTGTCGGACGAGCCCTGAAAAGACCCGGCCTTTGATCCCTGCTCTGCCACAAAGCTCACTGGGCAACATTGGACTAGTCGCTCTACCTTGCAGGGTTGTTGTGAAGATCAAATGGAGGCAACGTATTCCATATTGGGGGTAGGGAAGACAGGATTATCCTGATAAATATGGGATAGATGTTGCTAACATTGAACACATTTGGACAATACGGTGTGGCCGATTCAGGGTAGGCTTTTCAATACGGTCTTTGACCCACTCAACTCACACCGAGAGGTTCTGACTAAAGGTAATGGAGTCCATTTAGTTTCTAGGTCCAGGGTCTGTTTTTTATTCAGCGCCGAGGCCAGTTGTGCACGATGTGGATTGAACATCGAAGAGTTCCTCTGAGCCAGGCCCGTAGCTCACGTGGGGCCCACGGCCCCCCGCCCCCCGCGGGTTTTGTGGGGCCCCTCCCCCGATCCTCTGCTCCCCCTCCCCCCGGCCCAAAGATGATGAGAGGCTGGCGGCGGTGGCGCTGGAGGCCGAGGTGGCGTCAGCCCGGCGGGCGGGCTGTGGCTGTTCCCGGTGGGCTGGGGGGTGGAGGAGGGGAAGTGGGAGCTAGGTCTTCTTCACACACAACTAACCCCATTTCCCCTCCCTGAAAGTCCACACCGCCTCCCCGCTGTCCAATCGCCCCTGTTTGCGTGTCAGCTTGTCTCACAGCTTCACTCTTATTAAAAGTACCGTTTCTTCCCGCGGCTCCCTCCCTGCAAGGTCAAGCCGACGCCCCAGCTGAGCGTCCTCAAACCCAATCGGCGTAGGCGGGCGTAGGCGGGCGGGATCTGGCCGAAGCGGAGCCTGCGTTGGCCCCCTGCTTGTCTGGAAGCCACTGTGGGCCCCTTCTGATTCAATTCCGCGCGGCCTGACCCTGGCCGGCCAGAGCAGCAGCGCTTCTCTTCACAACTCGCACCAATTATGGAGGTATGAAAACGGACGGCTTCCCATTCAGAGAGGTGAGCGCGCTTTCCAACGGGGCGCAGCAGTTCGCCGGCGAGAGGCGGCGCAGGCAGCCCTCACTTGCAACAGAGACCACGGGGCTCTTCCTCGGAGCCGGTGAAGTGTTTCCCCTTGTATGGTCGTGGCCCCACCCAGCGTGCCCGGCGTCATTACGTCACTTCCGGATGATGTGCATGCGGCGCCCGCGCGCTTCGCACACGCACGCACACACTCCAGCCCTTCCACTTTCCCCAGAGCCCCCCCACTGGAAAGGTCCTAGCTATGGGCCTGCTCTGAGCATACGTAGAGTGCCATACCAAGTAAACACAGCTGGCTTCGAAAGACTGAAAATTAGAAACAAGGTTTCCAGCTCAGGTCAGAAGCGAGGGGTTTAGAATGTTCCTGGAATCCCAAAGGCAAATGGAGATGGAGGTGGCGGTGTAAGGCCAATTGGTTTAGCAGTAGGTAGAGGGTAATCGGAGGGGGCCGTGACCAAAAAGGCCCTGTCCCCCAACGTTGACTTGCATACGGATCAGGGCCTGCTTTTTGGATGTGGGGGGAGTGACCAGCAAGGGGTCATTGTGGGCCCAGCCCGGCCTCCATCAGCCGAAATTTTAACCAAAAGATGCAGCAAAAAGCATTGCTCTTGGCTTGAAATATTTTTTGAGTCATAAGGAATGGAGGCAACCCACGAGTTCAATGTGACTTCTGTGACCCAGGCAGGTTTCTTTCTTTCTTTCTTTCTTTCTTTCTTTCTTTCTTTCTTTCTTTCTTTCTTTCTTTCTTTCTTTCTTTCTTCCTTCCTTCTTTCCTTCTTTCCTTCTTTCTTTCTTTTTTTCTCCCTTCTCTCTCTCTTTCCACCTCTCTCCTTTCTCTCTCTCTCTTTCTTTCCACCTCTCTCTTCTCTCTCTCTCTTTCCCCCTCTCTCCTTTCTCTCTCTCCCCCCTCTCTCTTTCCCCCTCTCTCCTTTCTCTCTCTCTTTCTTTCCACCTCTCTTCTCTATCTCTCTCCTTTCTCTATCTCCCTTTCTCTGTCTCTCTCTTCCTTCCTTCCTCTCTCCCTCTCTCTCTTTCCACCTCTCTCTTCTTTCTCTCCACCTCTCTCTTCTTTCATTCTTTCTCTCTCTTCCCCCCTTTCTCTGTATCTCCCTTCCTTCCTTCCTTCCTTCCTTCCTTCCTTCCTTCCTTCCTTCCTTCCTTCCTTCCTTCCAAGTTTGCCAGGTCCCCCCCCTGGCCACTGGAGGGCAATGGGGGATAGGGTGGCCAGATCCATTTTGGGAAACTCCAGGAGATTTGGGGATAGAGCCCCAGGGAGGCCAGGGACTTCAGTTGGGTCCAGTGCCACAGAGTCTACCCTCCAAAGCAGCCGTTTCTCCGGAGGAACTGCTCCCTGTCGTCTGGAGACCAGTTGTAATACCAGGAGACCTCCAAGTCCCACCTAGAGACTGGCAACAACGCTGCATGTTCTGTGTTCACGCACACATTCGGAGGACTGAGAACATGCAGGCGCTCCGTAGCTGGGAATCCCTCACTGGTGGGGGGCACCGAGGTTTGGGGGAGACTAGGGTTCCCAGCCTCCAGGCAGGGCCTGGAGAACCCCCCCCCCCTCTCGCTTTTACAACTGATCTCCAGCGGACAGAGACCAGTTTCCACAGAGAAAATGGCGGCTTTGGAGGAGGGACTCTATGGCACTGTAAAACGCTGAGGCCCCTCCCCAAACTCCGCCCTCTCCCGGATCCAAAGCCTCCAGGTATTTTCCAACCCAGACCTGGCAACCCTAGGGGGGCCCTGTCTGGAGAATCCCGGGTCTCCCCCCCTCCGAAAATACCCCTGGCCAATGAGCCCGCAGTGCAATGTGACTGTGAAGAAAGCGAATGCAATCTTAGGATGCCTTAACAGAAGCCTTGTGTCCAGATCATGGGAGGCGGTCGTTCCGCTCTATTCTGCTATGGTCAGGCCTCTCCTGGAGTCCTGTGTCCAGTTTTGGGCACCACATTTTAGGAAGGATGTTGACAAGCTCGAGCGTGTCCAGAAGAGGGCAACCGGGATGGTGAGAGGGTTGGAATCGAAGTCT